CCATGATTCCCAGCCTAGCCTAAATGGAACCATGGTCCTCCTGTTTTATAGACATGAATAAGTAAGCCAGGCATGGTATTAGGTCATGCTGCACCTGCTTGTGTGCTTAAGCCTGGGTCCATCTGCTCCAAAGCCAGGATCTCTTCTCTGGAGTTGCTCCCAAAGGAAGACTCCACACTGGACACTTGGAACTTTGAAGTTATCTTATTGGGCCATCTGGACATGTGTGTTCTGTATAGACCTGGGTTATAGAGGCCGGGATGCAAGCAGCCATGAGGCAGGGCAGCTCAGCTGCAGGCAAACCAGCTTTTTCCCAGATGTCTGCTATGGATGGGGAGATGGCCAGTCAGCGGTTCCCACGGTGGCCTCCTTTGTAGCCTACTCAAGGTGCTGTTTTTAGAAACCTTGAGGATGGCTTCCTGTGGTCACTCCTTCCATTTCTCTTCAAGGTCATGCTGAATTGAATAAAGTAGGGAGCCTAAGTATGTGTGCACCCTAAAGATATGGTCAAGATTAGATCAGCGTGTGTGACCATGCTCCTACCATGCTGTCATGTCTATCTAGAGTCTTTTTCAACTTTACAAAGAAACTTTCTTTGACAATTCCATATATGCATACAATGTTCTTGATCATATCCACCATAATTCTCCCACATTCTCCATGAGCCACCCACCCCTGCCAACATGTGCCCCTCCTGCCATCATGCCCCCCTAACTAGTGCTATCTATGATGTGCACATGGGTAACCTACCAGGAACCCCAGTCACTAAGAAAACAAATCCCCCTTCCATCATCATCAGGTCTAGATTCTGGCGGTGGAAAGGGATGACGTCATAAACTCAAGGCCCAGCATCTCAGATGGACACACATACTAGTACAGAGCAGGGACTTGGACCGCTTGGGAGGGCAGTGGTGGTGAACTGGGGGCTCAGATGCTGCAGTGCCATGAAAGATGCCTGTCCTGTCTTCCAGCAGCTCGGCTCCAGAGGGGCCTGCTGGAGTGCTGGGGGGGAGGGGGGCTTTCTAGCTCCCCACGGCCTGTTCTTGGGCAAGCAGCTGTGCTCTGTGACTCTATCCATGCGCAGGGATTTCCAGCTCTCCGGGTGCCTCAGGGTCCTTGCTGACATTCCATCCTGAGTTCAGACCCCTGCAGTCTTTCCCTGTACTCCTGGCTCGGTCAGTCCATGCCAAACTTTGCCCTCTCTGCACTGATGGGAGGAGGGCCGGCTGCCTGCCGGGAACAGGGCAGGTGACTATCCCAGGGTGAGAACAATGGGGACAGGGCCACCTGCTTTGTTTTCTTTGTCCCTTCCAAGTGCGGACAGGGTTCCCAGGCCTGTGAAAGTCGGAAACCCAGACGTAACTGCTAAAAACCCTGCTGCTCCCTTTTGGCACAAGTCTGCTCCCAGGAGTTCTGGAGTTCGAGAGAGCGTGAGACCTTGCGGGTGGTGTCTCTGAGCTCCACAGAGGCTGCTGAGATAGGGCGGGGAGGGCAGCAGGGGAATCCCAAAGCTGGATGGGAAGATAGTCACAAACAGACCTTGGGTCCAGGGTAGCTGTTTTTGAAAATTGGTTGAGGGGATGGGGGGCTAGTTCAACCGTTAAAAATGCTTGCCATGCAAACACGAGAACCTGGGTTCACAGCCAGTGCCCAAATCCAGGTGCAGAAACATGTGTCTGTAATTCCAGCCCTCAGGAGGCACAGACAAATGGGTTCCTGGAGCCCTCTAGCTAGCCAGTCTAACTGAATCTGAGTTCCAGGTTCAGTGAGAGACCTTGCCTAGAAAAATGAAGGTGGAGAGGAGCTGAGGAAGATAGCAGAGGACAGTCTCTGGCCTTCCATATCGACACATGGGTGTAAGACTAACTGCTTCCCCTCCTCTATGTTAGGTACTGTCCAGGTCAAGAAGCCACAGCACAGTAATCTTCCTTTGTGGTTTCACTTTCTATAAATTTCTGATTACTTATGGTCAACTGTGGTCCAAAAGTATTCAACATAAAATTCCAGAAGTAATTCATGAACTTTAACTCACTTTCCTGAGTCACATGGTAGAATTTCGTGCCCTTTGCTACTTCCTGCCTAGGATGTGAATCATCCCCACTCTTCATCCAGTGTATCCACACTGTATCCCCTACCTACCCATTACTTACTTGTCACTATGCTGTGGCTCCCTGCTTCTTGGAGGATAAGTGGGTCCCCTAAAGCCTGCCATTTTCTACCTTGCCTCATGGGCTGCCTGGGTTTCTGGGCTTGGAGTATGAATCTGGTGTGAGGCACTGCAGGGCTACCATGGCCGTGTGTGGGGTGGAGCCTCGCCTGTACTCTGTGAGGTCTTCTATAGATGGTTGCTTTTTCAGTGGGTGGGCGCTGGACACTTTTCTTCAAGAATGAAACATGAGTATAGACAGGAAGGGCCTTCTCTCCGGTCTAAGAGAGTATGGGAAAAAGACAGAAAACTGGGCCTGGCAGTGGGGCTCCTGACCTGGGAGTATAGACAGGAAGGGCCTTCTCTCCGGTCTAAGAGAGTATAGGAAGAAGACAGAAAACTGTGGGCCTGGCAGTGGGGCTCCTGACCTGGGAGTAATAATTTTCCATGCTGAAAGCAATATATATTTTGAACATGCCAAAGAAGAGGAAGGGTAGGGTGAGGAAAGGCGCTAGTCTGGGCGGTAGAAAACTGGAATTTTAGGAGGTCATGGTCAGATCTTCTTTTGTAGAGAAGATGTAGTTAGAGAGGCTAAAGGTTCCTGGAAAGTCTCCAGGTCTTGGTAGAGAGGATGCTATGACATCTAGCCTGTTGAAACTGCAGCGACTGCTCCCCCAAGCCCCCCACCATCTGCCCCAAAGGAGACCTGCCCTTTCTTGGGTAAGACGAGACGTTGTGAGCTGGGCCTCCTGCTGGCACGGGGAGGAAGGTGGTACGACTGGACTCTTGATCTGAGCTGTGGCTGCCCTCTGAGACACACCCCAGTCACCCTGCGCTGGGGAGAAGGCAGTGAAGAAAATACCAGGAATTCCTCCCTGCCCTATGTTCTCCGCTCAGATAGAAAGATAGAAGGCCCTAGTTCTCCACTCCCACTCCCTGCACTAAAGGCAGCTGCAAAAGTTTTTCATTTGTTTTTAGTTTGCTTTGAAAGAAATGTGTTTTCTTGTTGGTTTGGTTTGGTGTGTCTGTTTTTGATAGCCCAGGCTGGCCATGAGCGTGTGATTCTCCCCTACCTCCTGGAGTGTCAGGATTGCAAGCGTGCATCACCGTGCCTCACTTTTGGGGACTTCCCCCCCCCCCCCCCCCCCCCGCAAAGTAACAGGGTTTCACTGTGTATCCATGGCGGCCCTGGAACTCACTCTGTAGACCAGGCTGGCCTCAAACTCACAGAGATCCGCCTGCCTTTGCCTCCCGAGTGCTGGGATTAAAGATGTTCACCACCACCTCCAGGTAACCTTTGGGAGAAATTTTAAAAATCTGCGAACAGGCTGGGCGGTGGTGGCCAGGGGAGGCAGTGGTACCACTAGCTCTTCCAAGATAGTTTTTGTATGTCCCCAGCCTCAGTGGGGATTATCAGATTGAGTGGGGGCCCACTGCTCAGCTGGGCATACTAACACTCCCCATTGACTCCTCACTTCCCACCCCGATTCCTAAACTGCTTTGAGGGATGAAGGATGGTTTGGGGTCTCCCTTCTTTGACCTATGCCTGTCTGTAGCTTTAAAAAAAAAAAAAAAAAGACAGTTGCTATACTCAGTAGGCTGAAACAACTGTGACTTCTGTGCAGAGAACTCCTCCATTCCTGTTGGGCCTGCTTCCCCCTGGCTTCTTGTCTGGAAGGGATCATATTAGAGACCAGTGGGCATGGACAGTGAGTGAGTGTGAGGTCAGTGGCAGGCAGACTTTTGTTGATTGTGACGCTGGGGACAGTTAGGAACTAAGTTCAGAGAAGTAGCCATCTGTCCCTGCTGGCCTTGACCTCACCTGTTTGCTTAGTTGGCTGGCTCACGGTGAGGATGACTCAAAACTAGAGGCAGCTGATAAGGTTCCCTTTTGAAGGATGGTGAGCCTTGGTTTCTCCCTGCCCAGCTATGGAGACACTGATTTCTTCTTGTGCCCCGAGGAAACTAAGAGATGAGAAGATAGAGGAAGAAAAAGGAAGAGACAGTTGCCACCTCTTCTCACAGACCCTGCCTTCTAGGCATAGGCTGAACTTCTCGCCCTGTCCAGGATTTGACACTTCTCCCAGTTTGTTTTTTTTTTTTTTGTGGGGGAGTGGCTTTTACTTGGATCTGACTTGTCTACAGCTCTTACTTTAGACAGAGAAAGACAGATGAGCCTGTCATGCTGATGACAGACACACTTGGCCAACTGGGTCCTGGATGCTCCTCGTGTGTTCAGAAAATATAGGCCTAGAGCAGCCAAGTAGTTTACCCAAGGCTGCTGGCCTTTGAGAGACCCTGTCCAGCTCACTCCCAAGTGAGATGACTCAGTCTGTCATCGCTACGGTGGACTGTCTGTGACTAGGGGTGAGTGTATGTGGAGCGAGGTGCTGGCAAGGAGTCAGTGAAGTGCCAGGTTGGTAGTAAATACATCAGTCTTCATTGACTTCTATATTCCTTCCTTTTCCTGGTCTTTCCATAGCCACCGCCTTTGTGAGGGTTTCCGGAGGTGTCAGGTGTCTTTCCTGCAGGAAGGACAATCTGGTCACCCCATGGGTATTCCCCTACCCATAGCTCACTCACTGCTTGCTCTGCTGTCTTGTAGCCTTTCCTTTGCTCTGTCTCTGCCCCCCCATCCCCTCTCCAGCTGACTCCTTTCCCTTCCCTTAGATTGGGGGAACCACTGTCCCTCAGTGAGAGGTTGTCATCAGTCTTCCCCACCCCAGTATTCAGCCTTATCCTGAACACCCTACCATTTCTGGGGCTTGCATCTCCCCTTTTATAATGGACAAAAATCTCTACTTTGTTGTAGATAAAATTGTTTAAAACGCAATTATAGCCGGGCATGATGGTGCAAGCCTTTAATCCTAGCACAGAGATGCAGGGGCCAGCCTGGTCTATATAGCAAATTCCAAGCCAGCCAGGGCCACACAATGAGTTCCTACCTAAAAGCAAAGCAAACTACTTTAGAACAATCCTCAAAGATGTTGGGTGTGTAGGCATCAGAAGACAAATGAACCCCATTCTGTATCCATACTCACTTAACAGTATTTAATTGTGCAGCTACATTATGCTAGGCAGAGCCTAAGCTCCAGGAATACAAAATCTCTCCCTTCTTGGGGCTTATACGGCAGGGGACCCGCCTTTTCTGGTGACATTTAATGTTGTCTTAGTTATTACCTGGGGTGATGTGTTATAAGCCTGGTGTCATCGTACCGAACAACTTAACACGTGTCCTGCCCACTCCCTCTGTACTATAATGGTACTACCTGGGTTCGAATCCCAGCTCCACCACTGACCTTGGGCTGGAGCCTGCTTCTCATCTTAACAATAGACTAATAGTGGTTCCTGCTTTTCAAGGCCTAGCCACTCACTGAACAAAGTGTTTTAAGTACTTTGATGAGCACCTGTCCCCATATGTGCCCAAATATCAACATAAGAGTGACACAGTTAGGAGATGGTGTCTGGAGGAGCCACCGAGAGGAGACTGAATGGTTTCAGCATCTGCAGTCTGGGCAGGTGAGGTGGCTTTCCAGGCCAGTGGGACCATGCGAACGTGGGAAGGGATCCAGCAGCAGCCAAGGAGAGTGCAAAGATTCTGGTTCTTACTTGGAGAGCACCATAGGTTGTAGTTCTGCAGGGGCAAGAAGAGAGGCCAGTTACTTGGGTTGTATCTTACACAGTAGAGGAGGGTTCTATGTTTGGGAAGCCATAGTGGCCATAGGAGTTGCAGGCAAGACTGCATAACTGCATGGTTGCTGGTTAGATGGATGTGGCTCATGCCTTAGCCACAGTTTCCCCTGCCCTATGCAAAGAAACGTCCTAAACTGTGTGATGGTGTGCATGGCTGGTGTCCGTAATTCATAGTCGGGGCATAGATGTTGGCTTACTGGAGGCCTGGATGGGAGTGGCCGCGCTGGGTTTAGGGCACTGTTTTTTCGGCTGATGGGAAGGAGTGGAACTGTGCATAGTCCTTCCTGCATCCTCTGTTGGGGATGGGATTAGGATCATCGTGACTAGAACCCTGGGTTCTAGTCCCAGCCTTGTAGCTTTTAGTACCACGACCTCTGGTTACTACTTCCTTGCTGTCTCAGCCTTGGTTTCTCATTTGCAATGTGGAAAAAATGATAGTGTCTTTCCCAGCAGAATTCTGTCCTCATTAAATGAGCTAAAAGGCATGTAAAATGCTGAGCACAACCTTTGGCATGTAGTAAGACCTCAATAAATCACACTGGCTTTATGATGAAGGTGACAAGTGGGGAACTCAATTCCGTCTCCAAACAGGAGCCTGGCCTGGATTGTGCAGGCTCAGCCCCTTCTCTCTATCGTCCTCCAGGCTTAGGCGGAAAATGAAAATATTGTCTCTTGTGAATTTAGGAGCCAAGTTAAAGAGTATTGCGAATGGACAGGGGCCACCTCCTCCGGCGAAAGCTGTTTCCCTAACCCTGAGAACAGGACGCCTTGTCTAACAGGGTTTGTCTGACTCCCCCATGGCCCTCCCCTGACCCAGGGATGACCTCCATCCTGGGTCAGCCCTTCTGTTCTGGGAGACTGGTTCAGGCCTTCTCCTTACCCCGTGGAATCCCAGCCATGGCCAGCCATGTGTCTCCACCAGAACCGTGGCTCTGCACAGTGGGAACATGGGTAGCTGGCCCTCCCCAAGTTCACATCTAGACTCAGCTCTGTGCCAAGTGATGACTGGCAGAATTGGGAAGAGTCAGGCGGGTGCTCTATGTGTCAAAGTCCAAGCAAATGGGTGTCTGGTCACAGCAACACTCTGTCCCATTCTGTGATCATCCCCTCCCCACCCCCATCTTTGTTCCAGCTTTGGCACGGAGCCATGCAGATTCCAAACCAGCCACATTTGAGAAGGGTGCATAGAGAAGTAACAGAGAGGGGGCACTGGAGAGCCCCAGGTCTGTTAAAGCAGTGGAGGGAGGGAAGCTTGGAGTTGCCACAGATTCTAAACACAGATGTCCAAGTCTTTACCTTGTGTGCCCATCTACTCCTTTTGCCACCCTTCTACAGCACAGTGTCTTCCCACCATTGCAAGGCTTCATGAAGGTTAATGGGGTTAGGGACTCTGAGTCAGAAGAGGCCTACCTTCCATATCTTCCATATCTGTCCTTGGTAGATGACTCAGGAGAACTCAGGCAAGTCACAGGGAAAGCAGGTGAGCCGTGGCTCTTGTTAACCCAGGGAGGGAGAGGCTGAAGCTGCAAGTTCTTATTCAGAAAGACTTACCACCAGTGGGGTGAGGGCAGGAAGGCCAGCATTGCCATTCTTCATGTCTTCTTCCTGTATTCTTCAACTCTGTGTTGGGTGGCTGTTTAGTTCTTTCTCAAGACTTCGAAATCCCAGGTGGCCTTTGAGTGGGGAGGCATCTTGGGTAGGGCTGTCCGTGAATCCTGAAGCCTGCCGTCCGTGTCATGACAGCCTCATCTCTGTCAGCCATGAGAGAAGACCTGTGAGAAGACAGATCCTGTCTGTTGACAACTGTATCCCCCTCCTGACATGCAATGCACCCCGGGAAGACCGTCTCTCAACCTTCCAGAAAGCAGAGCTTTCTTCATATGTGTGTGTGTGTGTGTGTGTGTGTGTGTAATTCCCTGGTGGACTTCTCAGTACCAGGAGCTGATAACTGCAGCGGCAGATTGTTCTGCAAAAGCTTCCCTGGTGGCTCTTCTCAACTGTCAGCTCTTGGTTACATGATGTGTGTAGTCTAGCACAGAGTGGAACTGACCCTGAAACGCAATGAACTTGGTATCTCCAACCCTGGGTAGATAATCCATTTCGGGGTTTACTTTTCACCCTGGTGTTTGCTGATCTGTGGTCAGCTGAGACCAGGGACTCTCCCCTTTGTCCTATGCTAACTTTTTCAGTTTTTTTTTTCTTTTTCGCACATATGTATGTGTGGTGGTGGTATATGAATGTACGTGTAGAAGCCAGAGTTCTGCACTGAGTGTCTTTCTCTGTCTCTGCCTCATTGTTTGAGACAGGGTCAATTAATGGACCTGGAACTTACTGTTTCAGCTAGACTGGAACAACAGCCCCCACCCCCCACCTGGCAAACACAGAACCATCACTCCAGTCCTCTCCACTTCTCCACTGGCCTTTTCTGATTCAAAGTGTGAAGACTGAAAATAAACTCATTTTGTATTAATTCTGACTGTGGTATTGTGGTCATCTTCCCTTTCTGCACTGGTTCTTAATTTTGCATCTTCCGCCCAAGGGAGTGGTAAGTTGTTGATGACTTGGCTGTGCCATTGAGTAAATGAAAGGAACCATTGTAGAGGCCAGGCCTTGGCATGACCCTGGGGTCCTCTGTTGGCTGGTGATGAGAGTCCTGTTTAGGGATGTTGAGCTGCCTGTGAATGGGCTGAGACACTCTTCCTCTCTCCAGTTTGCACTGTTGAAGGTGATTGCAGATCAATCGCCTTGCTGGCTCTGGAGCCTTACACATGACATCGAGGCTCTGCACCCTTCAGTGAAGGAAGTGTACTCAACTTCTTCCAAATGTTCAGATCTCCCAGAAGGTTTCAGGAGTCAGAGTTGGTGGTACACACTTGGAAGCCCAGCATTCAGGAGACTGAAGTAGGAAAACTGAGTTTGAGATCAGCCTGGGCTTCATAGAGAGATGGTTTCAAAAACAAAATATCTAGAATTTACCCTTTTTTCTTTTTGTAAACACACAGACAGCTTGCTTTCTGACATCTTTCAATGGGAATGATCAGAGGTGGTAACCCAATGTCATTTTAGATCCAAATCAAAGGCATTCTATTGATTGATTTGCTTGTTTGGGTTTTTGTTTGTTTGTTTGTTCGAGATAGGGTATTATTATATAACTCTAACTAGTCTGGAACTTGTGATATAGATCAGGCTGGCCTCAAACTCAGAAACCCACCTCCCTTTATTTCCTGAGTGCTATTATTTATTTATCTAAACCTAATTTTTATAAATTTTAATTCTATGTATGTGTGTGCATTTGGGTATGTGCAAATGCATGAAGGTGCCCCTGGAGGCCAAAAACACTGGATCTCCCTGAATCTGGTGTTACAGGCAGATGTGAGCAGCCTGATGTGAGGACTGGGAACCAAACTTGGATCCTCCGTGAGTAGACGTGCTGTTAACTTCTGAGCCCTCTCTCTAGCTCCTTGCTTATTTGTTTTTGAGACAGAGTCTCTACCGTAGGCTGGCTTTAAGCTCCTAATGCTGCTTCCACCTTCCAAGTGCTGGGATGGCAAGTGTGCCACCTGGGCAAGGTGAGCACTCTACAGTCAAGTCACACCCCCATTCCTGCACACTTTGTTTTATTTCGGGCTGTCTGGCTTAAGATTTCTATCTGAGGTAACAGGTGGGGGCTGAAATGGCTCTGCCTTTTTTCCTCATCTGTTTAATGTCAACACGTGGGGCTCTAGAATTTCCTCATTCTCTTGTTCAGATAGATTTTTAAAGTTAAAAATTGGATGCTGAGGTATGGCTTGTTACCAGAGCTATCTTCCAGCAGGTGTGAGCCCCTGGGCTCAATCCCCCAGAATTGAAGAAAGAACCTGTTGGATGGTCCTACAGGTCTGTTAGCATCTAAGATGCCCTTATATATAGACTGCTTACACCTCCAAGTGCCCTGGGTAATGTCACTGTGAGAGCCCCTGTTTGCCATGTCTCCTAGGCTTGGGAATGACAGTGGGAGGTAGAACAGCAAGCGGCCTGTGGTCTGATGGGGTGTCGGGCAGGCATGTCATCATGGAAAATTCTTCACTGAGTACGCAGATCCATTTACACGGCCTCTGCTGCTTCTGCAAACCGTGCATTCCTTCGAAGCCATCCATGCGTTCCCTCCTTCCCTCCAAACCTCAGTCATGCTTCGGGCGGCTTAGAAATGATGGCTTCTCCACTTTGCCTTTGTTTCCAGCTCTCGCTGTTCCCTGCTGTCCTTGGCTTGGATTTTATAGGAAATTTGACTGAGTTTCTGGTCTCTAGTCTGATGGGTCAACCCTGGGGCTGACCTTGAATGACAGAACTTGAAACCCCCCATTCCCCATAAAGGACTCTCGGGTGCCAGCTCTGGCAGCTGGTACAGCTCCATGGGTTGGATGAGAACTGAGTGATGGGCAGAGCGGAAGTTTGGAGTAAGGCGGATAGAGGTTTGTGGAGCAGGTGAGGTGCTTTGAGAATGCCTGTCCTGGGGCCCCCTGCCTACTGGGACTCTGTGGGACTGGTAACACAGTTTTGATCACCTTGAAGGGTACTCAGCACCAGTTTATCTGTCTCTGCCCCAACAGTTGCTTATCCCAGGGCAGAGAGAAGAAAGGATCTTCGGGGAAGGTCACGTGAGCATCATCCCCGCCCCCCCCCCCCCCCCGTGTGTGTGTGTGTGTGTGTGTGTGTGTGTGTGTGTGTGTGTGTAGGGGGAAGGATGGTTAGCTGGTTTGCATATCCCCAAGGACAAGGACACACATCGTTGGCCAAGAGCTGAACTCAGTGGCTGTCCCACAGGGAAAACGGTTGGAGTTCCTTCCCAGGCCATAGAGGACTTAGGTATAGGAGACTTCCAAGGCAATTGCATTGCATACGGAGCTCTTGGAGTTCAGTCCTGGGACCAGCACCACCAGGGAACTCTTTCGAAAAGCCCTCTTCCTGGCAGCCTGTGGTAAAAGCTTTCTTAGCTTTGTGGGTGATTTGGAAACACGTTTCTGTCAAATTTTGGAGCCAAGTGCCTAGTTCACATCTCTCCCTAGCTACGTGGACCTGGGTAGATCATTCAACCTTCCTTGTCCTCTCTATAAAGTGTTTCAGCTGTACAGCAACGGCACTGCTAGGAACTTTGATATTGGTTAAGTGACGATACTCTGAGGTGTGTTGTTGCTGGGTCTCAGATAGCCTAGGCTGACTTCAAAGGATGGTCTTGATCCTGATAGTTCATTCCCTTCTTTTTTGTTTTTTTGAGACAGGGTTTCTCTGTGTAGTCCTGGCTGTCCTGGAACTCGCTCTGTAGACCAGGCTGGCCTTGAACTCAGAGATCTGCCTGCCTCTGTCCCGAGTGCTGGGATTAAAGGCGTGCGCCACCACTGCCGGCTCCTCCTGCTCCCTCTTCAGTATCAGCTTTTATAAGAGTGTGCCACGGTGCCAGGTTTATGCTGTGCTGGGAATGGAGCTCAGAGTATGTATGCATGCCAGGCAAGGAGGACTCTCACTGAGCTGCCTCTCTAGCACCCAGAAATCATTTCAGCCCTGACCTTCCCCGTGTTTTTTTGTTTATTTTTAGGTGGTGTCTGATGCTGCAGATCAGGGTGTGGCCATTACAGGTAACCAGACTTTCAACAACTGGAACTGGCCTAATGCGATGATTTTTGCAGCCACGGTCATCACCACCATTGGTGAGTCCCCTTAGACCTTCAGTATACCCATGTCCACATCCTCACTCCTCAGAACCTCGGAGGAATCCAGCTTAGGTGACTGAAGCCATGTTGGCTATCAAGTACACACACAGTTTTACCCTGTCCTGATTAGGAAGGACTTAGGAAGTCCTGGGTAATTGGTTATACCTGTACAACTACTTCCATAGGTCCTGATTTGAACTTGGTATTTGTATTATTTCTGCATATGTATGTATGCGTAGTGTGTGCATGCATGTGAGTGCATGTGTGTTTGTATGTGTGGGAGTCCAAGGTTGACATTGGCATCTTCTTTGATTGCTCTCTATGTATTAAGGCATGGTCTCTACCAAACCAAAAGTTCACCATTTGGCTAATCTAGCTAGTCACTTTGCTCCAGGGATCCCATGTCTTTGCCACCTGTGTGCTGGGATGTTATAGGCAGGCCACCACACCCACCCAGCCCTTACTTGGATTCTGAATTCTGCTGGGTCTCTTTAGGTAGCAATATTGGCATGGTCCGGTGGCCAGAGCCACACAGGTTAGCTAGACTGCTCACCGCCCAAAGCTCCAATATTATCTGACTATGTGGCTGGCCACTCTAGAAGTCAGTGGCTTAAAGCAGTTACAGTCTTCCACCTTTGGGGGGTTGGCTAGTTTCAGCTGACAGTTATTGTGTGGGCTCTCCAGTATATGGCAATCAAATAGTGACTGCCCCACCGGCCTGGAGTTCATGCTGTCTTCTCCGACCCATTGTTTGACTGTTGGCTGAGGCTGGACACTTAGGGCCTCTGCATGTGGCTCTGCAGCTAGACTCTAAAGGAAGAATCTCTGAAGTGCCTAAAGGCAGGAAGTAGCAGTGGGCTTTTCCAGCCTCAGCTGCCATATCATTTCTTCCTCTCTGGCCAACCAAGTCACTGATACTCAGATTCATAGACTCTGCTCCTTGACATGAGCATTTGCATAAAGGCAGAGGGATTAGGAGTGGCCCTCTTTGGAGTCTGTTCTCCACACTGCTTCTTGGTGTCTAATCATTGAAGGCAGGCCATCTCTGTCTCATTTGCATAACAGTACCAAAAGAGCCAGTGGAGTACCTAATGATGGTGGGCCTAGTGCCTGTCCACAGGGAGCTCCCAGGATAATAGAGGACACAAAGCCCTTAGTGTAGAAATAGTTGTAAAAATGACCAGGGTCAGAGCTTGATCAAGGGAAATAGTGCATAAATATCTATGTTACTAGAACAGGATCAGGTTATCTTAAAGTGTGTATCCTTCTGAAGCTGGTGTGGGGCCTGGGAGTGCATGCACGCAGGAGACAAGAACCCAGCTGTGGTGGTGGTGGTGGTGGTGGTGTGTGTGTGTAGGTGCATGCACGCAGGAGGCAAGAACCCAGCTGTGGTGGTGGTGGTGGTGTGTGTGTGTGTAGGTACATGCACGCAGGAGGCAAGAACCCAGCTGTGGTTCCATAATCATGGCTGTGATGTGTCCCTTACTTGACTCTATCTTCCCTCAGGTTATGGCAATGTGGCTCCCAAGACCCCAGCTGGGCGCCTCTTCTGTGTCTTCTATGGTCTCTTTGGGGTGCCGCTGTGCTTGACATGGATCAGTGCCCTGGGCAAGTTCTTCGGGGGACGTGCCAAGAGGCTGGGCCAGTTTCTTACGAGGAGAGGAGTGAGCCTGGTATGTCTCAAACCCTAGATACAGTTAAGGGGAGGAAGGTGTTGGTACAGAAGACGGCCGTCCTGTTGGGTCTGCTGGAGCACCTTGGGCTCTGTGTCCCAGCCGGGATCCTAGAGTCTTTCCCATGGCTGACATGCTTTCCCATCACTCCACCAGCGGAAGGCTCAGATCACATGCACAGCCATCTTCATCGTGTGGGGCGTCCTGGTCCACCTGGTGATCCCGCCCTTTGTGTTCATGGTGACAGAAGAATGGAACTATATCGAGGGCCTCTACTATTCCTTCATCACCATCTCCACCATTGGCTTTGGGGATTTTGTGGCTGGTGAGTCCCTGCCTCCTTCCCCCGACCTCTGCCACATCCCCATCTCCAGTTTCAGTCTGACAACGGTACCTTATAAGTATCCTTATCTCTCTCCTGCCCTGCCCCCCCCCCCCCGCCAGCACAGGCACGTGTGTGCACGCACACACACACACAAGCCACAGCTGGATTCTTGCCTTCTGCATGTATGCAACCACACACACACACCACCAGCTGAACCAGGGTGGCTCCCAGACAAGGGAGGCCTTCTCCCCACTGCCCTGCCCCCTCAGCCTTGCCCTCCTCCTCTGCTTAATCCCCACAGGCAGTGAAGAGGTTCTTTGTCCCCTTTGTGGGAGGGTTTGCGCCTGTCCCAGCCACCCATGCTCAGTTCCTTGTGCCTATGTCCTGCACAGCCTCCTGATTCCTAATTATGTCAGTCTGTGCCCCTCCCTCTTGACCTCCACCTCTGCTCCCAGAGGTCATGGCGCCAGCTGCTTTACCCAGAGGGCAAGTGGAGGTCATGCCTGTGCCCCATTTTGTGTGGAATGCTGCGAGGGGGCAGCTGAGTGGGTGGAGGGAACAAGACGCTTGCTACAGTGAACACTTCTGACCCCAGCTTCCTGGGACCCGCCTGCTGTCTGAACACAAAGTTACAGGCACAACCCTATCATTGTTTAGTTCAGGGCCCCAGAGCCTGCTGAGGATGAGCCTGTGGTACCTTTAGCCATGCTTCTGAGCTCCAGTGAGACACTAGACCCATCCTCCTTTCTTTAGTGGTCCGTAAGAAAAGTTACACACTTGAATCTGCTTTGGTTCCTGGGCGCTGAGAGTAGAAATCAGCCATGTGAGGTTGGGGCTGAATTGCTGCCATTATCCGACTCCACTTGTAATCAGAAGCCCTGTGCAAGATTGCCTTCAGATCAGGGTGCCTCCTCAGTCAGGGGCTCTAGCTCCTGCTCCAGGAAAGACCCTAATAAGGGCTGGAGGTTGAGGTTGCCTCTTCTAGGCCCTTCAGTTCAGTTACTTCCCTCTTTAGAAGGCAGGATGCAGGTCAAGCTAGCTGCTAATAGAAAGTCACAAAGACTGTGGCGCATGTGGTGGTCAGGGGACAGTTTCAGGAGTTGGTTCTCTCCTTCTACCAAGTGTCCTGGGGTGCAAACTCGGGTCCTCAGGGAAGCACTTTTACCCAATGAGCCACGTCCCCTGACCATTGAAGGGAATCCTGACTAATTCTAGAAGAAAGGTGAACCTCTGGAGCCGTGAGGTGAAGGTGTTGCAGAGGAGTGTGCAGAATGGTGGAGCTGTCCAGGCCAATCAATCAAAGAGCTACCCTGACAGAGCAGAGATAGGGAGGCTGACTCCACCTTGGAGGAGGGTAAAGATGGTTTGGAGTGGTTCTTGCCAGGTCAGTGCTTCCTGGGTCATCTTGACCCAACCATCAGCATCATTCACAGTAAATCAGTTAGTCCCTCACCATCTAAGGCTGCCAGCACCCCCAATGTTGAGTTTCCATTCTGTTTTTAACTGAGTTGAGATGTGCTCCCTGGCTGGGAGGAGCAGAAAAATGCATATGCGTGAGCTGGTTAGTTAACAGTCGCCCCAAGAGCCCCTTTAACTCCCCTCAACTCAAAAGTAGCCTCAGTTCCGACTTTTTGCAATTAGAGAAACTGGGGTTTAGAGTTGGGCTGTACTGGAACCACAGTCCTTCAGGAAGGAGATAGATGACGTAGTCTAGGCCTCTGTTGTGCACGTATGCCTGTGTGCACACTCAAGTGTGCCATTTGCTCAGAAGCCCTCCGATCTTGGGTCTTTTGAGACAGAATCTCATTAGCCTGGAGTTCATCTGTTAGACTCGGTGATTGGCCAGTCAGCCTCAGGGCCCTGCCTGGTGTCACAGCTGTGCTCCTTTACACCTGGCCTTTCACGTGGATTCTTTAAAAAAAAAAGCAAAAACTAAATGAATGAATAATTAAAAAAAAATACAGGGGGATTTTGCCTGTATGTATGTCTGTGTGCCTGACACCTGAAGAGGCCAGAAGAGAGTGTCAGAGCCCCTGGAACTAGAGTTACAAATGGTTGTAAGCAGCTCTGTTGGTGCTGGGAATTGAACATGGGTCCTCTAAGAGGACAACCAGCGCTCTTGTGCATACGTGGATTCTGATGTTGGAGCTCGGGTCCTTCTGGGCTGTCTCCCCAGGTCTTGTCTTTGACACTGTGCTTTGTGTGGTTTACTAGGACAGCACGGCGTCAGCCATTTTGGTAGGCTTCTGCTGACTCTGGGCTTCCTGTCTTCACAGGTGTGAATCCCAGTGCCAACTACCATGCCCTGTACCGCTACTTTGTGGAACTTTGGATCTACCTGGGATTGGCCTGGCTGTCCCTCTTTGTCAACTGGAAGGTCAGCATGTTTGTGGAAGTGCACAAAGCCATTAAGAAGAGGCGGCGGAGGCGAAAGGAATCTTTTGAGAGCTCCCCACACTCCCGGAAGGCCCTGCAGATGGCTGGAAGTACAGCCTCCAAAGACGTCAACATCTTTAGCTTCCTCTCCAAAAAAGAGGAGACCTACAATGACCTCATCAAACAGATTGGGAAGAAGGCAATGAAAACAAGTGGGGAGAGGGTTCCAGGATCTGGACATGGGCTGGGACCTCAAGGGGATGGACTATCTGACATCCCTGCATCCCTGGTACCTTTGGTGGTCTATTCCAAAAACCGAGTGCCCAGCTTAGAAGAGGTATCTCAGACTCTCAGAAGCAAAGGGCATGTGTCGAGGCCAGTTGGTGTGGAGGCTGAAGCGCAGGCTCCCAAAGATGGCTACCCAGGCTCTGAAGTATTTATTAACCAACTGGACCGTATCACTGAGGAGGCTGAGCCATGGGAAGCCCTGGACTATCATCCGCTCATCTTCCAAAATGCCAACATTACCTTTGAAAATGAGGAAACAGGCTTCTCAGATGAGGAAACCTCCAAGTCTTCCATGGAGGACAATTTGGCCTCAAAGGAGCAGCCTCAGCAAGAGGCTGTGCCTGAGGCACCCTTGAGCACGGGTGAATTCCCTTCATCAGATGAGTCCACCTTCACCAGCACCGAGTCAGAGCTCTCTGTGCCTTATGAGCAGCTGATGAACGAGTACAATAAGACAGATAGCCCTAGAGGCACGTGAGGCAGGCCAGGCTCCCCGCCTGCTCTCCAGTGGCTTCTTCCCCTCACCTGGGTTGTCCTGTGATGGCCAGATCCCTGGGGAGAGGGCCCTGGAAATGAGATGGGGAGCCAGGGCCCTGCTTTTCCAGCTGGTTGCTTGCTTCCATGGGATGTGGTGTCGGCCCAGGACAGGCCTCCATTCTACAGCCCCCATGGGGAGGCTGCTGTCCTGGGCCTGCCTTGTAGGTAGGTATATCTGCTGACTCGAGGCATGTAGGCTATAGCACTCACCCTGGAGGTCCTATGTCTGTTGGTTAAGTCTTCCCCCGTTGTTTGGTTGACTGTCACACGGTTCTCTGAGTTCACCAGTATTAACGAGCACCTCCTGCGTGCTAGGCACTGAGCTAGGCATTTGGAAGGAGGAGCTTGTAAGACCCAGAGTTGTCATGTTGAGTCTTCTGGGGAGGCACAGGTATGATGGGGTTTGGTAGTAGCAGGACCCATCTGTTCATCCACTCACTGCTCTGCCCAGCAAGCCCTTTACTGCAAACCTCAGGGCAGGGGCTGTGTGTGTGTGTGTGTGTGTTGGGGGGGGGGGGGGTCCACTATCTGTCCCAGAGCCTTGTCCCGTCTCAGATTCCCTTTGTAAGCAACAGCAATGCTGTACCCTGGGGGTGCAGGAGAAAGATGGGTGACTATGGAAATTAGTACTCCGGGCATGGTCAGGGAGCTTAGATGTGAAGTCCAGGTCCCTCAGCCCCTTCCTGATGGAAGTACAAGTCCCAGCCCCAGTCTGGGCACCCACACTCCCAACCCACCATCTCATTCCCTGAGGATTCCCTCACTGCCTCTCCCCCTCACCCCTCTTTTAGTGGGTCCTATGGGGTGAGGCCACATCTTGGCTTACAGAACTGTGAATTGAGCTCCCTTCTTAAACCACTGTGTGGTGGTAGTGTGTGTGGGGTGCCAGTGGGTGTGTGTGCGTGCATTTGGGCTGGGGAAAAAAGAAAATGTGAATTTTACTGGACCAGATATTCCTGGTGAGGTCTGGAAACTAGCTGCTGTATAAGTCCTTGATGCTCAACCTCCAGCTAGCCTGCTCTGGCCTAAATGGTTTTTGTTATTAATATTTCTTAATGAATTGTTCTTTTTATACCCAGAATCTGTCATTGACTTCAGAGCCAATAAAGAACAGGGTCCCTGCAAAGTGGGATGGATGTCTGTAGAGGGCACTCTGTTGTCCTTCCAACTCAGCTTGTTCATTTGTGGTAATGCCAGTCAAGGCCTTATGCAGAGCTGGGGGGGGGGGTGGACAACACCACTGCAGGTCACTGGGTGCTGGGGGCAGGAGATAATAACCTGCCTCAGCCCCTTCCCTTACCATGTATATTCTACCGAGGGGCATATAGGGCCAGAGCCCCATACATGATGTCAGTGAGAGGTGTGTGTTCATACCTCCACCATTCTCTAAGCGGTTGTAGAGGCCACATTGGCTTCAGGGTGGGAGGGACAGCCTGGCTCCTGTGAACAGTGTCCTAAGATGAATGTCCTGGAGCCACACTAACCACACTGTATACATGTCCTGGTGGTGAAGGCAGATGTAATTTATTTTAACATTTTTACAATAAAACACATGAACAAGCCCACTTACTGTGTGGTGTATGGGGCTGGGAGCAGGGTGGGGTGGGTGGGATGGGCCGGAAGACTCTGACAGTCTGATGTCAGACCTAGGACAATCTGATGTCTGTCAGTAGGTCAGAAGGATTGTTGTAGAGCAAAGGGTGCGGCCATCAAGAACTCAGGCTAGAGCATCAGGAGCACGGCCGAGGAGATAATCTGTTCTATCTGCTGCCGTCACAAATATCCTGCCCCAAAGCAATCTGAGAAAAAGTTTGGTTTACACACTTCCAGGCCATAGTCCATCATCAACAGAAGCTGGGCTAAAAACTTGGAGGCAGGAGCCATGGAAGAACATCATTTGTTGGCTTCACTTATACCTCACACTTAGCTGGGTTTCTTATACAGTCCAGAACCACCGAGGGATGGCTCTACCTACAGTGGGTTGAGCTCTCCTTCATGAATTATAATCAAAACAGTCCTCCACAGCTGTGCCCACAGGCCAATCTGATCTAGGCAATTCCTCAGTGGAAGCTCTCCTTTCAGATAGTGTCAAGTTGACAAGGCTCATCAGGACTGGTAAGGATGGTGGTAGCCAAGTCTGCCCCTCACTAGCTTCCAGATAACCTTTCCAGATTTAACACCCAACAAAGCACAAAGGACAAACCTTCACCTTGCAGTGGTTCAGTCCTAAAAGTGAATGGAGCAGGAAGCAGACAGGTGTTTGAGGCACAGTTGTGTAAACATTAGTAAAAATGGGGAGGTTGGCTTTGAACCCAGGCAGCACAGTTCCTGGCCTGTCCACAGCCATTGTGATGGGATGAGAAGATGGCTCATAGGTTTGTGGTAGGTCTGACATCACTGAAAGGACCTCCCACCACCAGGAGGTGAATCAGGACTTTTCCAACTCAAGGAGTGTGCATATAGCCAGGGCACTGTTTTTTTTTTATTTGTTTGTTTGTTTGAGAGATTACTCACAGGTAGAAACATTTGCCAGGTGGCCCTGACTGCAGTTTGATCCCCAGAGTACAGTTTAAAAAGCCAACTTTTAAAGGCTGGAGTCTAATTCTAACCCTAGCATCCTACTGGGATGGGAGCTGGAGACGGGAGAATCTGATGGAAGCTCCTATGCACAGCACAGTGGCAGAAATAGTGAGACCCTGCCTCAAACACTAGGGTGGAAGTGTTGGGGACTGTGGACCCCCAGACCCTGAATTTCTTGTAAACAACTTGTTTTCCTCTGCTCTGAGCAGTCTGCAGCTCAGAGCACAAGACCCTGATGGCAGGGGAGTGGATTCTGATGAGTCTGCAGCTCAAAGATCCCGAGAGCTGGGGTGTGGCCAGAGCCCTACATAAGCTGCTCCTGAGCACCTTAAGGTGGGCATTCTTGTGTCTAGGATGTTCCCATGGCCCCATCTGTCTGTCTCTGTCTGTGTGTGTGTGCATGATTTTAACTTTTCAGCCTAGTTCCCGTAGCGCCAAGTGAGTAGAGCACAGAACGGAACCGGTGTGGTTTTACATGGAAGAAGAGAACTACTCTGGAGAAGTCCTGACCAATCTGTACATACATGCTCACTTTCATAAACACACACAAATCTTAAAAAATTCACCAGGTTTGGGTGGTGGTCACATAGGACTTTAATCCCAGCACTCAGAGGCAGGCGAATTTCTTAAGTTCCAAGGCCAGCCTGGTCTTCAGAGTGAGTTCCAGGACAGCCAAGTCTTCACAGAAAAACCTTGTCTTGAAGAAACAAAAACTGCCTGGTATGGTTGCTCATACCTGTAATCCCAGTGCTCAGGAGGCCAAAGCAGGGGCATCCGGGAAGGAACATCTTTACGAAAGCATGGTCCACAGATGCAGCCAACTGCAACACTTTAACCCCGAGTCATCTTCACAGTCACCATGAGGTTTCTTTAAGAAACTTGTACAGCTGCATTGGAAATTATTTTGCTTGAGTTTGCTTCACATAATCCTTGGATAGCTGCCATTTAAAACCTAACATAACCCTTCTGCCCCAACAGCAGCAGTTCCTGTGCCCTGAGAAGTTGAACTGGGACTCAGGGAGTGACTTTCGGGGCCAGAGCTGAAACAGACACTGCAGAACATACACTTTAGAGGGTCAGGCTGTGTTCTTCCTGTGGTCAAACTTAATCTGGGGCTTTCTGAACAAGTAGGAGGGGCTGAACCGCAGCTACAGGAGAGCCCTACACTCCCTAGCTTCCTGAGTGGTCATGGACAGAAAGGGCATACTGTAAGGGCTGAGGCTGGGAGGGCCAGCCCCCACTGAAGCTCCTAGGCCAGTGTCTCAGATGAGTGAGACCCACAGACTCAGTGGAAGTCCTTGGTGTCTCTCCTATTCCAACAGGCTGCTTCCCTGCTGCCTCCAGAAGCTTTTCTGCCTGGCATAAGATAGTTCCCTTCTCTCCATCAGTATGGCTGCCCTCCCTGCTCTGCAGTCACTGTTAACTGGTCAACTGCTCTGTATTGGGTGAGGTACAGGCACTTTTAGCGCTGCTAGGTGGGATGGACAAATGCCCCTGCATGCAGGGAGTGAGAATATTGCTGGTCATTTTTCTGAGTGTGTGATGGGTATTGATACTCATTTGTTTTGGTAGTTCCTAGTCTTTTTGTCTTCCTCTCTAAGATTTATTTTCTAATTTTAAATTATGTGTGTCTAATTTTAGATATACGTATCTTGTGTGAATATGTGCATATGATTACAAGTATTTGTGCAGGCCAGAAGAGGGCATCACATCCCTTGTGGCTTTGAGCTGCCTGATGTGGGTGCTGGAAACTGGACTCAGGTTCTCTACAAAAGCAGTGCATTCTCATAACTGCCGAGCCTTCTTTACAGCTCCTGGAACTAAAAACAAAAACAAACCACAGCATTTCATCAATCCTTTGACTATCTCATGCATGCATTCAGCATGTTTTGATTTTATTTTCTCTATTATTTGCTTTAGGAATATTACCCTATTCCTTCCCTGAACTCGTCCCAGATTCATTTCTCACTCCCCTCCCTACTTCATATCCTCATTTTTGTCCCCCCTTTTTTGAGACAGGGTTTCTCTGTGTAGCCCTGGCTGTCCTGGAACTCTCTTTGTAGCCCAGGCTGGCCTTGAACTCACAGAGATCCACCTTTCTCTACCTCCTGAGTGCTGGGATTAAAAGTGTGCACACCACCACAGCCCCGTATAACCTCATTTAAAAAAATAACCCGCCGACTCCAATTTGTGCATCTGGGTGGGAGACCACCCACTGGAGCACGGTGGACCTACCAAGGGCCACTCCCCTTGTAGTCATCAGATGTCAATAGCTCCTCAGTGATGGAGGCTGGCGAGCCCCCACCCCATCCATGCTGGAATATTGACTGGGTTGATCTTGTGTGGGTCTTGTGCAGGCTGCCATCTTGTTGAGTTTATGCATGTAATGGCCCTGTCATGTCCAAAGGACACTGTTTGTTCCAGTTCTCCCTGACCTCTGGCTCTTAAAATCTTTCTGCCCCTCTTCCACAATGTTCCCTGAGCCTTGGGAACATGCTACAGATGTCTCGTTTGTGGCTGAGCACCGCACAGACACGTGTTTTCCACCATCCACCGTGATGGAAAGCTTCAAGATCTCTTTTATCTACACCTTTTAAGCCTAACGTATTATTAACTTCATTTTACAAATGAAGAAGCCGAAGAAAGTAATCTTCCCTAAGTTCAAACAGCTGTGAGGTGGCAGAAAACACCTGCCCAGGCTTGTGTTCCTGTTCCTCACACCACCCTCTGGCAGTCCCTGATCTGATAAGGAAAACACCTTAGCTTCTGATGGAGGTGACTGAGGCTCTGACTTCCAAGGAGGCCAGAAGTGGAGAGTTCTGTCTCAACTGCCTTTCTGCCTTCCTGTGAGACCCCAGAAGAGTCACTATGCCAGGGTGCAGAGAGGAGAGAACAACCTACTTGGGTGTCACCTCATCCTGGAAAACGCCTGGCAAAGGTGATTGCTTGGGGAGACAGTGGGCAGGTTGGGCAGATTGCCCAAGGAGAGGTCTCTGGAAAGACAACTTCTCTTTGGGGAACCCCCATGGTTTGGGGGACCCCCATGTTTAGTCTCAGCCCTGCCCATCTGCTCTCTATGCTTGAATAACAAGTTCCTGATTTAATCCCAGTACTGGGGAGGCAGAGGAATGTGGATCTCTCCGAGTTCAAGGCCAGCCTGGTCTACAGAGCGAGTTCTGGGACAGGCTCCAAAGCTACAGAGAAACCCTGTCTTGAAGAACTGACAAAACAAACAAAGCATTTATTTGGGGAAATACTTGTGGAAGTCAGAGGACAATTTACAGGACACAAATCTCTCATGTGTGTTCTGGGGGATTGAATTCAGGGCTTGACAGCAAGTGCCTGTTGAACTGTCTTGCTGGCCCCAGATTCCCGATTTTGAAAGCCAGGTCCAACTGACCCAGGCCCTAGGTGCTAGCTAGTCTGACTCTCCAGGGTGTCATCTTATTCACCGACTCACTTCTCCACCAGCCTGCGCTTCATGGAGCTATCTGCTGTCAACTTTCCATAGCCTCTAGTTACCCCTCCCTGAGTGTGGACTGGGTTTCTTTCCCTGTGTGGTAATGTCCCCTCAGGAAACCAACTCTGTTCAAACTGCTGTGACCTGTTCAAGTTTCCTGTCTCCTACTCTTGTGCCCTCTCCCCTGGCAGAGAGCCACTCGCTGGGGGTAGCCAGGACTGGATTGCTCATGTCCACATTCCCACCAGGGCCTGGCCGTGTGGAGAGGGGCTCTGCTTTCTGGTGTTTGGAAAATTCAGGGTGAATGTCCCACAAGTCCCTCTGTTCCTGGGGCAGAGGCCAAAGCAGGGACAAAGCTTGTTCCATGAGGGCGAGTCTCAACAAAGCCAGGTGGATGAACTTGAGGGACCTTGTGGCAGAATGAGGTGGCCTGATGAGTCACCTCATCTTATGCCAAGTCACCTGAGTCTAGAAGGCAGGAAGGACCAGGGCACAGCATACCTGATTTCTCCCCATCT